AGCTGCAGTTGCTCCAATCACATTTTTTTTCTCTTTTGAGATCTGCATTATTGTACAGTTTTCAGCTCTATCACTTAATGTCCCCCTTCCCTTCTTTCTAGCACAAAGAAAAGCATCTTAATCAGTATATACATGGCACAAAAGGCTTGTGTAGGGAACCATGCACTTTTAGTCTTTTAAATCCTCCATACTTAACATACCTAAACGTCACTGCTTAAAAGATAATAGGCATTTAAATTCAGAGTAAATTAGCAATCAGGACAATTTGATCTAGCCAAATTAAGGTTACAAGCACTTTCACATACTAGATTTTTTACTGTCGTTGACACTATCCCCTTTTTTTTTTTTTTTTAAACCCAAAGGATTCATCTTATCTACATACATAAGTGCTGATCTTCATTTTGGAATTTTCTGTTTCTGAAGTAGCTTAATTCCACTGCCAGCAGTATTTCTCTAACAGAAAACAAAAAACCCAAACTAAACAAAATTACAATCAAAACCCACATTTCGGTTTGTCTGAGGCAGAAAACCAAGCAAAATGAACGAAAGTACATCCAAAGCTCGGGCCTCAATCCTTATGCTGTTAAAATCACCAGTCCAGCACTAGGAAAACAGTACCTGCTGTATTTTGTGACTGTGAATGTGGGGAGGCAGTATAAAAAACACGTATTAAAAAGACTAACATGTTTCCTACTCTAGGAGCCTCTTAGAAACAAAAGTTGTGCTTGTAGATTTTCTTGTTGAAGGAAGAGCTCACCAAGTATTACTTTCAGCTTTTCGGTAGCTTTGTTGAACACACCATTAAATATAAACTAAAAAACAAAGAATTAATAAAAAAACAGAGGGGTGGCACAGAAACAAAAAATAGAGCTGGCACAGAAACAAAAACCAGAGCTACATACAGTACAGCATGGGTAAGGGAAAGACTGTAGACAGGTAATGCATTTGTGATGCTCTTTTAAGAATCTTATCAACTGCGCTACTTCAAAAGTAAACATAAATCTCCCCAGCAACGGGAAATGCAACCACTAAATTTCTTGAATCACATGTTAAAAACAGAACAAAGCCCCTATATCCAACAAAGAAACACAGAGCTGAATGGAAACACTCTTGCTCTTGAAGATAAGGACACAGTTTAAGCTCTTGCAGAATCGGGCTGCAGTTTTACTACTTTTAGATAAGATGAGGTTTCAGGTAATGAAAGCTCAGAACAACCAGTTTCATACAAGTTTCATTTCAGAGTAAAAATTAAATTGGAAGTTTGGAGACCTGGATGCACAGTCACACAGACCTGAGAAAAAAAGCACTTAGTTGTGGGGTTTTTTAAAAAAGCTGTCAGCACAAAATCACAGAAAATACACCCACCATTCAGAGATAGTACCACATTCCTGCAGTCATTTCTCCTATATAGCACAGCACTTTTCCCTTCCAGATGGGATTAATTTTATTTCTATAGGAGACCTGAAATTGAATTCACTGCCTAAAGATAAAAATCTCCCTTGGTAGGAATATGCAATTCCCTTCCTCCTCATGTTTCTCTCTCACAAAAAAAGTGAACACAATCGCTGATAGTTAAGAATAATGCTTTTGGCACAGCTTCAGTCATTAGCAAATAATAAGCTCTGAGCTACAGCAATTCTGTGAGGCTGCAAAAAATATTTTGTGTTTCTATGAGGCTCTGAGAACATACGAGGCACTGGACAAAGATGAGTTACAGAGCCGCACAATGGGGTTAATTTATTCCTCCTGCATTTTGTCAGTCCCCTTTAACAAGAACTATAGGCGACCTTTGAGCCAAACCAATATGTTAAATCCAATGAAGTTTTTCTACACAACAAAGATCTTAGTATATTTACTATTGGTTTTCAGCCTTTTCTGAATGTTCACAAAACCAGAGAAGAATCATAATTTAATGTTAAAAACACCAAAGATGCAGACTAAGATGAAGAGACAATGCCCAGTAATACAGCAAAGCAGAATTGCAGTGACACTGCCAGTAATTACATAAATGATAAAATGAAGACAGAAGAAAACACAAAACTGACCTTAAAGAAAGAACTGGAATAATTTCACATCTAGCAGCTTAAGATAGACAATCTATGGAAAAAGAAAACAGAGCATCAGAGCAATTCTCACTTCCATACTACCATCTGCTGTGATTCACCAATAAAGAAGCAATCAGAAAAAGAGCAAGATGTTTACAGCCCTGTGCAATCCTTCTTATCATGAAAACAACCAATTGAAGAGTCAAGAATATGTGTGTTGAAAATATTCTCTGTGACACCAAAAGAACAATCTAAATGCTTTTGGCCTAGTGTAAGTTACTACATGAAGAAGGAAAAAAAAGCCATATAATTTTTTGCTCTGGCATTAACATTAGTCATGGTTCTTTAGTCCATATTTCTTGAAAACAGAAGAACCGAAAGTACCGCAAGAAACCCATTTTTTTTTAAAAAGGGATATATGTATAATGAAACATTAACAAAGATTTTTTTTCTGTATTACATAAGTGTTTGTATTTCTTTTTAATGTTTTTATAAAATTTAAGGAAAGCAGAAATACAAGAGCTATACAACCCAAATTACCGCACTATAAAAACACTTGAAGAGGCTGAATCATAAAAAATCAGCCACAACCAAGTCAGACGATAAAAGCACAGGTGACATAAACAAGGAGTGAAATAACAGCACTTGAACTGATGTAAACATTCAAAAGTCTGAAGACAGGAAATGCAAAAAGAGAAAGCTAGGTGTTAGTGAAACACAATACTCGACAGGCTGAAGCCCACTGTTTTCCCTTCAAATAATTTTCTTTTGAATGTAAACCTTCAACAGCTGCTAAGTGTGATACAGACATGCATTTGTAAGAACCTGTACAACATGTTTTTCTAGACTGACCCTTCAAACTCTTCAGCCCTAGAAGGGCCACTGTGCAGCAGCCTGCTGCACCTCGTTCCAACAGCTCCAGTGATGAGATCTCTCCTTTCAAATCTCTGAAAATATGCTAGGGAGGTGAGGATATTTTCTTGCAAATGAAATACTGAACAGGTGAGCGTCACAGTGACACTGAGGGGATGGCAAGCAGCTAAATCTCATATAAGATTAAGTCCAGAGCACTCCCTGATCACATGCTGGCTCTGCACAGCTTCTGGCAGGAGCTTGTTTCCTTGGAAAGCTGACACAAGCCACTGCCATATAACAACACTACCCCAGCCATCTAACCAAACCACTTGGTACTGGTTAGCAAGCTGAACTGGCCGTGCCTGGTTACAAGAGACAGTCAGCACACAGGCACACAGTTTTGTGATTGCCCTTTTAAGCCAGAGCAGAGTTAGATTTTCCCAAGTACTTCCTGAAACACCAGTCTTGGAAAAGAAAAGGAAATCACAGCCACAGAATGAGTGCACTTGGAAGGGACCTTCAGAGGCCACCTTGTCCAACTCCCTACTTAAGGAGAACCATCTTAGACCTGGTTGTTCAGGAACATATCCAGGTGGCTTCTGAGTACCTCCAAGGATGGAGACCCCACAACCTCTCTGGGCAACCTGTATCAGAGCTTGGTCACTCTCATGGTGACAAAAGCGCTCCCTGATGTTCCTGTTTCAGTTTGTACCTTTTGCCCCTGTTCCTTTCACTGGGCACAACTGAATAAAGCCTGACTGTCCTCTGTGCACCCTTCCTTGAGGTATTTATATTAATGCATAAGAGCCTTCTGAGCCTTCTCCTCTCTAGGGTAAACAGTTGCAGCTCTCTCAGTCTTTTGTCATATTTAACATGGTCCAGCCTCAATCATTGCTGTGACCCTTCTCTGGCCACTCATCACCAGTATGTCCACCAGTATCTCGCACCCAGCACTCTGGTGCCTCACTGGTGCACAGCAGAGGGGAAGCAGCAGCTTCCTCCACCTGCTGGCAACACCACGTCAAATGCAGATTGGGATATGTGAGTCACCTTTGCCACAAAAGCAATTGGGAGGAACCTATCCATGCCAGGGATCAATTGGGAAAACACATGGAAAAAGACAAGATGCATGCAAGTGCCATGTCCAGATGCTATATCTGCCCTACATCCATCTGTCATTCTAAACTTGGGGATTGAGCATCAGCTCAATTTCAGTGATAAAATAAAATGAAATTAATAGAATGGAATAGCTCAGTTGGAAAGAATCTACAGTGATCATCTGGTCCAACTGCCTGGCCACTTCAGGGAGGATGAGAAGCTAAAGCACGTTATTAAGGGCATTTTCCAAATGCCTCTTAAATGCTGACAGGCTTGGGGCATGGACCACCTCTCTAGAAAGCCAGTTTCAGTTTGACTACCCTCTCAGAAGAGAAATGCTTCCTAATGTTCAACCTAAACTTCTTCTGGTGCAGCTTTGAATCATTGCCACGTACCCTGGGATATCCACTGGATACCAGGGAGAAGAGATCAGCATCGCGTGTCTTTGCTTCCCCTCCTCAGGAAGCCGTGGAATGATGAGAATAATTCTCAGCCTCCTTTTCTCCAAACCAGGCAAACCAGAAGTCCTTAGCTGATTCTCACAGACCACTGCCTTCACCAGCTTTGATTCCCTCCTCTGTAGAGCCCAGAGCTACACAATGTTCCAGGTGAGGCCACACCAGCGCTGACTACAGCGGGACAGGCTCCTCTGTCTGCACCGTGCTTGATGCACCCCAGGCCGCCTCCTGCCCTCTTGGCTGCCAGGGCACGCTGCCAATCTACACCTGAGCGGAACCGGTACCTGAAGGGAGAGGGAAAACGCCGGGGAGGGGAAGTACGGGGCGATTTCCAAGGATTCAATGACAGGACAGGGCTGGAAGCTGACGGCCGGCTCCCCCGGCCTCCCCGGGGCGCGGCCCCGCTGCCCTCCCCGCCGCGGCAGCACCGACAGCCGCCCCTCCATCACCCCCCCTCCCGCGGCCGCCGCCGCCGCTCTCACCGGCCTCCGCCTCCGCTTCCGGGTCGCCTCGGGCGGAAGGGAAGTCCCGCCCCGGCCGCCGCGTTCCCGGGGCCGCGTCCCTCCCTCTGCAGAAGGCGGGAAGCGGCGCCGGCGATGGGCGACATCCACGAGGTGCCGCGGCCGCGCATCGCCACGGGGCAGCTGGCGCAGCACATCGGGCAGCCCGTCTGCTTCGTGGGGCGCGTCGAGAAGGTGCGCGGGGCGCCGGGCGGGCTCCGGGAGCGGGGACGGGGCTGCCCCGGGCTCTGCGGGGAGAGGCTGGCGCCGTCCCGGGGGCAGCCCGGCGGCTCCAGGCGGCCTGGGAGCGGGCGGGAGGCGGCCGCGGCTCTGCGGGAAAGAAGCGGCTGAGGCGGCCGAGGCTGTGGAGCGCACAGGCCTTTTTTCTAGACTTAAATGTTCTTTTGTAGATTCATTCTAGCGGGAAGCTCGTCGTGCTTGCGGATGGACTCGGAAAGCACACGACTGTGGAGCTGAGCGAGCCTGTAAGTTAAGGAGTGCTTTGGAAATACCTGATGCCGCCTCTTGTGGATTCCGGAGGTTTTGTCTCTTCTGAAACCCGTACATCCGTTCCATGTTTCGAGTTTTTCCACCTGTATTTCATTGCCTCTCTTTCTTGCATCTTTCAGCTAACTTGTAGTCAGCCTTCTTACTCATGAGCTGCCTTAGTCTTGATCAACTTTCAGCTGGTGCTGAGAGAACTCATTCTTTGTCAGACACATCCCTGTCTGGCTATTTCGTCTTACTCTATTAGTTGTTCACAGTGTAATATATTCCACTACGTTTATTAGCTTTATTTTAATTCCAGTCTTTCCTCTCATTTTCTTATAGCTTCTATAATCAAAAAGAACATGGTGTTTTAAAGTTTTTTTGACTTAACATTGTTTCATCTTCTTAGAACTCTTTGGTCATAGCGTTTCAGTAAATTCCATAGTTAGCTTGAAGCATTCTTTCTTAAACAAAACCCCAAGCAATGAATGCAATGGGTATAAGATATAATTAAAACTACTGAACAAAAATACTGCCTCTTTTGTTATCACCTACGACTGAAATAATAATAATTCGACATTCTCTTCTAAGTATGTTTTTTCCATCAAGAAATCTTGTAGTTAAAAAATTATTTTAATTGTGATGGCAAATGCTCTGGCTTGACTCAGCGCATGTGTATATTTACATCTTTTTCTCTGCATGAGTTGTTAAGTGCTGAGAAACCTTGCCATTTCCATGGGAAACAATAGTATATTGTACTTTCTCAGTCTTTCAAGACAAGAGTCTGTCCCTATTGATGAAAAATGCAGTTTAATCTGGCAGAGTTTTGTCTTATAAATGTGAAAATTGCTGACATCAAACTGCAACAAAATATCTCTTACCTTTTTCTTGAGTTTGTGAAAAGATTTCCTACCTTGGGTTGTCAAAAATTCAGATGTTAGCATCTGACCAATGATTCTATAACATTTTCTCTAACAGTGGAAGTGGTTGAACTCTGTAAATGCAAAGCTGTAGTGCTGGGCACTTCTGTCTGTGCCCCACTGCCTTGGGAGAAACTGGTGTGTGCAAAAAAAACAAGGCCAGGTTCATCTCTCCAGTTCACCCAATGTCAGTGGGGAAATTAATAGATGTGCTAATCAAAATGCTTGCTAACTTTTTTCCCTTTCAATATATTTCACTCTCTGTGCATGTCTAGTTCCCTCTTTCAACAGAGGACCCTAAAATTGTGGGAATTATTCCAGAAAACTTACTAGAAAGTAAAAAACAAGACTTAGACATTGGAAAAGCATTACCAAAATGGTACTGCACTGTTAAAATTTGTATCTTAAAAAATAAAGAAAACATGCAAGCTGTATTATTTTGGTGTAATATATAATTTTTAGCCTTTTTTTCCTTTGTTCCACCAAAGGCTTATTAGTGACAGTATCTTTGTATTCTGAACACTTCCTGACACATTACTTAAGAAATGATTTCCAGATATGCCTTCTGAATGTGGAACACTGGAACTGCTCTCTGGAATGTGTGATACCTCCTTAACTTTTACAGAGTTCTATAATTGGCACAGGTTTGAAGGCAATTTGAATGCATTAAAAGCAGAACTGTTCTCTCTCTGTGTCCTAGATTAGTCTCTGTTCAGTGATGAAATGACACAGTTTTTTATACTTATGAACCAGTATCTTTCTTCAGACTCGTCTTCATATTTTTTCTTGTTAGTATTGAATTGCTGTTACAAAACCTGTAAATCTCTAAGTGGATCAAGGTTTTTTGTGGGTTTTTTGGGGGAGGGTGACCAGGCCATCCAGTAGTACTGTATTGTTTGACATGGAACAGAATCTGTCATGAGCAAAAATCAGCTGTGGAGAGTTCCTAGCTGTGGAGTAAAGACAGCAGCTATTTAGTGTTACTAACTTCATCTTTGGTGTGTTTTCTAGCTGGATGAGGAGATTTCAGGAGTTATTGAAGTGGTGGGAAGAGTAACAAATCAGGCAACCATCATGTGTGCATCGTATGTCCAGTTCAGAGAAGATAAAAGTTCATTTGGTAAGTAAGACTATACATTATGGCATATTCATTTGAGTTCTGAACTTGTCTTCAGTAAATAAGAAGGGAAAGCCTAGTTACCTTTTTTTAACAGACAAGGTCTTTCTTCAAGCTGCCAGATAAAGTACAGGGTGTAGAAAAGTGTCATGAGAGAAGTTCTGTACCAAATACAGTGGTTTACAGTTAAACTGTAGGAAATGACTCAATGCTGGAGCCAGTCTAGATCATTGCTGTGGCCTCACTGATCTCCCACTCCTGACCACATGGTTCTCACCTTGCCCTACATGTTGTGTGGTTGTGCAGCTAGCAGGCCTAAAAGTAACCCTCCAGAAAACAAGCAATGAGTGTTCCTGCCATGGGAAAACGGGAGCTTGAGGGAGACTGGGGTCTCTCAACAGTACTGCTTTAAAATAAGCAGTGCTTGAATGGTGTCAGTGACTTGTGGGGAATTGAACTTATGCATTGTAACCATTTTCTTTGCCCTTTTTCAGATCTGGAACTCTACAATGAAGCACTAAAAATTATTCATGATTTCCCTGAATACTACCCATTTGGTACTGGGAGGAACACTTGATTTTTATTAACATATATTTAGAGCTTCAGAGGGGACTACAGTACTGTGGTTTCTTGCCTGACAGCATGGTAACAGTTGCATTTATTTTCAACAGATATACTGAAAAGACACTGTTACATGTGCTAAGTGTTGCCTATGAAGAGTATTTTCTTTGAAAATGTATTTATTCAGCAAAGAAAACAAATGTGAATGTCTCACTCACTGTCTATATTTAACCCTTTTGCATCTATGAGGAGCATTCTCTTGCAAGATTAGACTTGTCAGAAACTGAAATTTTGTAAGCATCCTTTTCTAGTTGGTAGAGGTTCTAGGATACATTACAGGAAACTTGTATGGAAAAAATTGATAAAGATTTTTGATTTAATTTGCTTTGATATAAATTTATTGTATGGAAGAGGTATTTTGCATCTTGGAAATGGTATCTTCACCAATAAAAGATTCACTGCATTTAGCCATTTGTGTCAGCATTAAATGTTAGAGTACTATTTTCAGTGATATGTGGCAACTCCTGTTCTATTTGATCTGACACAGCTGAATTTAACAAAGTGGAGTACAAGGTTCTTGTCTTTGTATGATGCTAACACTTGGGAGATGTTGAATTGGGATTGGGAATTTCAAGCACAGTTGAAGTCCCATCACAGCCTTCATTCTTGCTTGGAGTGACAGCAGCAGTACCAGGATTCAGCCAGTTTGTCATGGTGACTAACCATAGGAACTTCCAACAGTCCCCAGTTTTGTTACTGTCCAGGCTATTTACAACACTTGGCAAAATTTTTGCATCACTTGAGGTAACACATTTAAAGTAAAATTGAACTTTGGAAATATTTTCTGGGCATTAATAAAGTATTTCAAAGTATTTTAAGTAAACTGTAGCCATATTCTTTGAACTTTTATACAGACAGGTTTCAGGATTAGTAGTTAGATTTACTGCCTTAATAAGACTGATAGCTTTGTGCTAACTTATAGACATCTCTTTTTCTAGTCAAGGAATATGTTTCAAAAACTGACACTTTGAACTCGCTACAAACTGGAGGGATGAACAAGTTAACAGAGGATTTATTTTTTTCTCCCTCCCCACCTAGAAGATGGATACTCTGTTACAGATACACAGTTACTCTGACTGGGAAGGAGGTCTTCTGAAGTAGGAATCAGTCTCCTACAGCAAACACAAGGTCCATGTGGCACAATGCCATGCCCTGTCTATCATCACTCTTAAGTGTTCAGTAGAATCAAATGTCATTCTTAATAACTGCATGCATGTTTTCCTAGCATTTAAAACTATTTTGTTCTATTCTGCTTTAGAAAATTAGTAATCTGTGTACATATACTCTGTAAAATGTTATGTACAGTTACCCAGAGCACCCGTGCCCAGGGGAGCAGCCTGCCACTAGATGGCTTCAGCACTTCAGAGACCAGCCTGGGCTCTGAGGTCTGGTGAGGTAAAGTTTGAACACACCAAGTGGGAAATGCTGGTTTCCCTTTGTCAGTCCTGCAGCAGTGAAAGGTGGCAGGGCAAGCTGGACACAACTAAAGGTTTCCCTTACACACTTTTCATTGGTCTGCTTCTCTACAGAACATCAGTCTGTATGAATAAATGGCCTACCCTGGCTTCATGGCTGTACAAATCACACAGCAATGTAAGGAACTGGAAAACATTCTTGGTACTAGACTAGTGCTCATGTCATATATGCATTTATCAGCATAATTTCCTACATTGCCATGTTGAAAACTGCCAGCTACTTTAAATACTTTACTTTAAATACCAGGGGAAAGACACAACCATGCCAGCTAGGCCTGATGGTTAGCAGGGCCCCAGGCACACACAATGAAAGGTGAGAAACTGCCAGCCCTCATAGATAATAAAATGGGAAGTAGGGGCTTCCTGGGACACTGACCAAAGGGGAGGCACCAGGGCAACTGGAATCAGAAACACCAGACAGGGATATCACCAAAGCCAGTAATAGAAGGCATGAAGAGGAGCTGGTGGCTTCTTTGGGAGGACAAGAGGCTGGTGCATGGTGGGAACCTGGCAGAGGAGAAGGGGCATAGGAAGTGAATGCTGTAACTGGAGCAGACTTCTAGAAGTTCATGCTATTTGGAGGAGGACCACTGCCACTACATTCATTACTTATTTCTCAGACTTGGTACCTTTTTGCTGGGCTCTTGGCTGACCCTGCTTGCCTGCTCTGCTGTCCTGGTTTGGGCATGGACATATTCACAGTTCATGTGGTGCTCATGAGCAAGCAGCCTGTGTGACAATAAAGTGCTTGTACTTAATCAAGGAAGGGCTGCAAGGCTGGAACATCTATCAAAATTACAACAATGGAATGCCATCAGCATGAGCCACAGGATCACAACATTTTAGCATGCAAGGACACCTTCAGCAGAGTTGAGCTGAGATTTACCAGGCAACAGTAAACAAAAAAATAACTGCAGCTAATAAAATGGGTGTAGCTATATTTTTGTCTGAAAACAAGAAATCACCCCAAAAGTGACAGATCTATTCATTTAAAAACAAAACAAGGAAAAAAGAATCTGGTAATTAAAAAACATAGAACTTTAGCTTTGTAAATTTTGCAGATCATGTAACTACTGACCTGAAAGCCTGATTATTAATTGCAACAACCAAAACCCATAGTGCCAGAATATACACATTCATAATCCAAAACACTGCAAAGATATAAGTACTAGAGTGAGCATGTAATTTAACTTAGTGATAGAATTTGACACACACAGTTATAATCGAGGTGAAAATGTTACAGATTAATTTTCTTTACATGAGAAAATGAGACACTATATGTTGGTAGTTGCATTCACCTCAACATGGAAATTATCAGAGAAATTTACTAAATGTTACTACACAAGAATAAAAAACAAATTCTTGACACTTACCAATCCTCATTTACATAAACCAAAACCTTTATTGCCCGTATTTATATAAATAGGGTATCATACAGTAAGCCCCAGTTTACATTTATAAATGGAGAACATTTTGAAGAGCTCTTCAACAGCAATGTGAAGTGTGCAAAAATACTGGAATGAGAAATAAATATTCTAAAAAGAAAAAAAAAGGAACTGCTCTCCCATGCCTAGAAATATCAAGTACCTCTTAGATTTTTAACTTTAAAAATTATCTTTGCCAATTTTAGATCAAAATAAATGCAGCAGATGTGTTACAACATTAATGCTAACTCAGAAAATATAACCCAAAGTCCTGAATGTAATCTTGTACATCCACAGTACATGTATATCTTGTACATTTCCACATTTTATCTTCTTGAAACTACACTAGAGCACATAGAACTAGTGGTATATTACAATATATTCTCTTTGAAACACCAATTTTCACAGTCCTGGCAAACAGTACCAGTTTATTGCTAGCATTCCATTTCATATTTCATAGCACACAAGTGTTGAGTAACTCATATACTGTAAATAAACACACACCAAGTAAACTGATGTTATTATCACATACCTTAAAACAGGTTTGGTTTTTTTCCCTAATTTGTGTGAATGTTGCCTACAAAGTCAAGGACAACAATACCAATTAGCTCCTAGCACAGTATTAGCAAAATATCATTGATGTTCTCTCAAGTTAATAAATAATCTTAATTCCAGCTGGTAACACATCTAGAAGTACTCTGATCAATTACTCAAAACTGGGAGCAGATGGGTGTCCACTAGTGACCAGAAGCAGGATTTATACAGGTTGATTCCACACTTCCCAATATATTTCAGAAGTACAGGGAAATACTGATTATCTCAAAGTCTTCAAATATCTTTGCAGTCAAAACTTCACGTAGTTTAAAACTTACATATTTACAAGTCTCCAGTCCTTGAGATTTCAGATCTTCACAGTACTAAGTTAAAAATTTATCAGATACAACCTCCTATAGTTTACCTGCACTCTGCACTGAAACAGTCACATGACTTCACAGGGAACTCTTCTCTAAGATACAGTCATCACTAGGAGAGAAAACCCCCAAATTCTTCAGCATTAAAATCTGCATCAGCTAGATATGTAGCCTAGTTAAGTAAGAACTTGAATTGTAAAGACATTGCTTTACTATCAACAAAACCTGGCAAGAGAAAGAAAAGAATTTTTCTTTAAAATAAAAATGTTTAGAAGGCAGTTAGCAGTGGCAGTTTAAATAAATTTACAAGGAAATAAACAAACATTTGCATATAAGACAGTGATCAAACAATGAACAGAGGAATCCATAGCATAACTTTGCCATCTTCTTTTCAAGTGTTTATTTTGAAGGTCTGCTTTCACAGCATATAAAGTCAGCTTTGGGACCAATCAGCATTATACTGAAAACTTTTTTAATAAAGGTCTTCTTTGCATTTTAGCAAATTCAGAGTCCACAATTCCAGGAGCACTTTTCTTCAGTCCTCTAAATAAGGGCCATGCACTGTACTTATAGGCTCACCTCAGGAATACCTGTTTCTACCAAGCACAGTCATACACACATCATTTTACTACTTTGATAGCAATTCATTTTTTCACAGTAAGTCACAAATTACCTTTGTCTAAAATATCTGCTTAGACTGTGATGAACATCCATTAGAGAGCCACACATTTTCTAACAGTATTTATGCTTGGACAGTCTCTGCTGGAACGAGATTCCCTGTTGTATCCAGCTGCATACACTTACAAGAGCAGGCAGAAACTGGGCACTCAGTATGGTCCCTAAATAGCAACAGTCAAAAAAAGAAAAAACAGGTAAAATAATTTTGCAATTATACATTTTACTATGTGCAGAGGTATAGCATCTCAGAAAAACTCAGTATCACAGTTCAGTTCTGTTATTTAAACTTTATAATGATAGATACAGGGAAGGAGACATGTTCTACTCAGTGCAGAACACACATGTGAAATAACAAAATTTTAACACTGACTTACCTGAACCAGCTCAGCATATGTCCAGCATGTCCACCATGCCTACAGTTGTGACACCAAGTAAACCAGTTGTTGAACTGGGCTAACTTCTTGTCTTTGCTAAGATCCACTTTTTCATCTGACTTGGATCCTCCTGTCCAGAGGCAAACCCACCCCCACAAATATGGCTGTAAATCATTACACTTCATTTACATTTCAGTCCCAGAAACACCATTAAAATGATTTTGAAATAAGGAACATAATGTGAAAAAGCATTGTGATTTTAAAATAGAAGTAAGTAAAAAATATTAAGAACTGGAGGAGTGCTAAAAAAGAATTAGACTGCTAAACTGTTGCTTATCTTATCTTTTAGATATGCTAAACTAGCCTATTAAACAAGTTTTACAGACAGAATCTCGTTCAATGGTGATTTATGTCTTATTGATTGATTTATAATCCATTTGATTATCCATGGCCTGTTCTGCTGCACATGAAATCATCTGCTTTAGAAAAAAATCAACAAAATCTAAGTTATGAGTTGGAAAAAGTTCAGTATAGAAGTCATAACA